ATCTCCGATCAGGTGCGTATATGTCGGATCTGGGCTCTGGATATAAGGGCATGCATGGAATCTGCACAAGTTTTTATTTTCTTTCTCCAGCTGCTGTCGATGCGCTGAATCTCCCTCTGATCTTGATGGGTTACGTGGAAGTTTTGAGGAACTTCAAACCCTCCGTATTGATTACAGGACACTTCAGACCACCACTACTTACCTCCACACCTGACATGCCGAGCCTAACAAAGCCAGACTGGCATCCAGAACGGGAAAATTTGGGGCGCGTAGGAGGGAAATAGCAGGCTCTCACAAGTAGTGGCGGTTTAGGCGATGCTGGAAGTCAATCACTGGTAAGTTGTGATAACCATACATGCGGCGCATCACGTGCGCGCAAGTTACCCACGTGTAGCGCATGCGCACACGTGATGCAGCACATTTACGAATTAGTTTTTTTTCTTTAATCAAAAAAGGGTAGGCCGTGGTAACGTAATGTGTCCCTCCCTTTTGAAAATTGTAAATTCAGAGGAAAAAAATTGGGCCCACTTTGTACTACTCATTGGATCCATTCTCTTTTCCAAAAGGTCCCCTGCAAAGAATCATCAGGGTTCCCATGCATTTGGAAGGATGTTCATCGAACTGCTGAAAGACCACGAGCAGGCCAGCAATTTATCGTGGATTTGGATTCATGTCTGTGTTCCAAGAGTTATGGGTTACGAAAGTACTACAAGCACTACAGTAGCTGTCTCGTTTTTTTGTTTTTCCTTTTCTTACGTGCAGTGGGCCTAAGGACCTCCTCCACTCATCACAACAGAAAAACATATGCCTTGTATGGTTCCAGTTTCTAGGAGAAGATTCATTCTACGGTAGTCTTGCACATTTGGTGAGTAGTGGAGTGAAGCCCTGAAAATCACATGCTGAGTTAGTAAGTCATTAGCCATAACTGCTGAAACACTGACCTGAATTCGAGGCTACACCATAAATAGCTAGCCTGTTCCCTCATTACTACCGAGCTGAGGGACTGCCCTTCTCCTGCCGACGGGAACCTTGGCAATTTTTGGCAGGGACCTTTTTGAAGTACCGGCAGGGGTTGTCTGAATAATTAGAAAGGGCTCTTTGCTCTCTCTCTCTCTCTCTCTCTCTCTCTCTCTCTCTCTCTCTCTCTCTCTCTCTCTCTCTCT